GAGTCCCTTGACCCATTTCCCATATAGACCAAATTTGAGACATGCAACGCTTCAAAACCATAGATCTATGTTCCTAGGGCATGCTTATCACGTAAAGTTGCAAACTTTACGTGCATGCATGGCCCTAAAATCTTCAAAAGGCAAATACAAGCTCTTTATGAGGTCATACACTCAATGGGGACCTCAATCACTTCATCCATAGGAACCTTATGCTTCTAATACGTCCACAAGGTCTAGATCTAAAGTCCTTTCGGATCATTAAGCACAAAAACATGGAGTTTGGTGTTTTAGGGCTCGAAAACCACCAATTTGGGACAAAAATGGTATCTAATGAACTAGTGATCAAGGTATGAACTTTTCTACCTGAATGGAAGCTTCTCATAGTGTAGATTTTGGATCTACTCCCTTCCTTGCACTCTTCAACCTCCTCCTTCTTCTTCTAAGCTCCAAACTTCCTTCACCAAGTAAAAATCACTCACAAGAACAATATGGGGGCTAGGGTCTCTCACTACAACTCTCTGGAAGTGTTAGGGACAAGGGGAGACCGAGTTAGTGTGCTTAAATAGGGTTCCAACACTTGGGTTAGGGTTTTTGCCAAATTGGGCCTACTCGCCGAGTCGGGGAGCCGACTCACCAAATCCAAGGCTCAAACTTCGCGTCTCATCCCGCTCCTACTCGACGAGTCGGTCCTTCAACTCACCGAGTCCAAGGCAAAAATGCATGAATTTAGAACTATTAATTACAAGAAATACATACCGGGAACCAGGTGCTACAAATCTCCCCCACTATTTTAGACTTCGTCCTCGAAGTCTGCTACTCGATCTTGAAATAGCTCGGGGTAGTGCTCCATCATCTCTTCCACCAGCTCCCAAGTCCACTCTGATCCTTTCCGGTGCTGCCATTGCACCTTTACGAGTTCCACCCCCTTGTTCCTCAGATCCTTCGACTTCCTGTCGAGGATTGCCACAGGCCGCTCGATGTAATTCAGACTGTCATCGACCTGAATATCCTCCAAAGGCACCACTGCCGAGTCGTCCGCCAAACACTTACGCAACTGAGAGACGTGGAAAGTGTTGTGGATCTGGCTGAGTTCAGCTGGCAGATCCAACCTATATGTCACCTTGCCCACCTGGGCTACAACCCTGAATGGTCTGATGTACCTTGGGCCCAATTTGACTCATTTTTTGAATCGGATGATGCCTTTCCATGGCAACACCTTCAGAAGAACCATATCCCCGACTTGGAATTCCAAGTCTGAACGACGCTTGTCAACATAACTTTTCTGCCGACTCTGTGCAGTTTGAAGCCTGCTCCAAACTTGCAGAATCTGTTCGGTTGTCTTGAGCACTACATCGGTGCTCCCCATGACCCTTTGGCCAACCTCACCCCAACATATCGGGGTCCGATACCTCCTTCCGTACAAAATTTCGAAAGGAGGTCGATCAATATTCGCGTGGTAGCTGTTGTTGTACAAGAACTTAGCTAGAGGAAGATAGGTATCTGAACTACCACCGAAGTCTGCACGCATGCCCGCAATATATCCTTTAGAGTCTGGATGGTCCACTCGCTCTGACCATTTGTCTGCGAGTGAAAGGCGGTGCTAAAATGCAGACGAGTGACCAACTTGTCATGAAATTTCTTCCAAAACTTGGAAGTAAAACGCACATCCCTATCTG